GCCCCCGGAGCCCAGCAGGGTGGAGTTCCACCTTCTGTGCCAGACCCTGAGGGATCCAGAGGGACAACATAACCTGGGAAGTGCCTCTCCAAGGCAAGGGGATGTGCCCTACCACCAGGCATGGCGTCTCCCAGGTCCCCATATCCACTCTGGCTTCCTGCAGCCTCCTGGGGCTCTGGCCGCTTCCTCCTGTTCTCCCCCCCCCCCGCTGTCTCCCAGGTCAGCCCCCATCCACTGAAGATTGTCCTTGGCTCTTCTGTGGCCCATGCCACTGCCTGCTCCCCTTGCCCTCATTCGGCCATCTGGGTCGACAGCTGTGGTAAGGGAAGTGGATGGGCTGACAACATGTCAGTGAGTTTGATGGGAGGGGGGTTGGCCTCCTTCGTTAGACTTGAGTTGTCCTGGCATGACTGTCTCTCTTGCAGGAGCTCTGAGTCGGGATCTGGTGATGCCATGCCTGGACACTGAGCATTTCTCCCCTCTGTGTGTTCTCAGATGCTGTTGAAGATGGCCACTCCCAATGAATCTCTTTCTACGCTCTAAGCATTCAAAAGGTTTCTCCCCTGTGTGGGTTCTTCTGTGCAGTTGAAGATGGCCAGTCTGACTGAATCTCTTCCCACACTCTGAGCATTCAAAAGGTTTCTCCCCTGTGTGGGTTCTTTGGTGCTTTTGAAGATGGCCACTCCCAATGAATCTCTTTCTACGCTCTAAGCATTCAAAAGGTTTCTCCCCTGTGTGGGTTCTTGTATGCTTTTGAAGATTACCACTGTGATTGAATCTTTTCCCACACTCTGAGCATTCAAAAGGTTTCTCCCCTGAATGGGTTCTTTGGTGCTTTTGAAGATGGCCACTCCCAATGAATCTCTTTCTACGCTCTAAGCATTCAAAAGGTTTCTCCCCTGTGTGGGTTCTTTTATGCTTTTGAAGATTGCCACTGTGACTGAATCTCTTCCCACACCCTGAGCATTCAAAAGGTTTCTCCCCTGTGTGGGTCCTTTTATGCTTTTGAAGATCACCATTGCGATTGAATCTCTTTCCGCACTCTGCGCATTCAAAAGGTTTCTCCCCTGTGTGGGGTCTTTGATGCTTTTGAAGATCACCATTGCGATTGAATCTCTTTCCGCACTCTGCGCATTCAAAAGGTTTCTCCCCTGTGTGGGGTCTTTGATGCTTTTGAAGATCACCATTGCGATTGAATCTCTTTCCGCACTCTGCGCATTCAAAAGGTTTCTCCCCTGTGTGGGGTCTTTGATGCTTTTGAAGATCACCATTGCGATTGAATCTCTTTCCGCACTCTGCGCATTCAAAAGGTTTCTCCCCTGTGTGGGTTCTTTGGTGCTTTTGAAGATTGCCACTGTGATTGAATCTCTTCCCACACTCTGAGAATTCAGAAGGTTTCTCCCCTGAATGGGTTCTTTGGTGCTTCTGAAGATGGCCACTCTGACTGAATGTCTTTCCGCCCTCTGAACATTCAAATGGTTTCTCGCCTCTATGTATTCTTTGGTGCTGCTGAAGAGCTCCACTAACACTAAATCTCTCTCCACACCCTGAGCATTCAAAAGGTTTCTCTGTTGTGTGGGTTCTTTGGTGCATAAGGAGCTGTGAACTATTTCTGAAGAACCTTCCACATTTAATAGATTTACTTGCCTTCATTATCCTGGGCTTTGGAAAATGTACATCACATTGTCTGCCATCTCTCTTCTCAATCATATTGCCGTCTTCCTTTCTCTTAGGTCTGCCTTGTTTCCTGATGTTTTCTTTCAAGTCTTCATATTTAATTGTATATGACCTTTGCTGATGAAGTTCCTCACCCTCCTCATTCCTCTGATCATTCTCCGCTGGAGGAAAGAGAGAGATCCCATTAGCACCTGGGAGGAATGCTAAGGTCCAAAGGCATATTATGTGACTGCAGGAGGAAAAGACTGATGGCCCTTTGGCCTCATCCAGCTTTCCTGATCTTAACCACCCCTCCGCCTTCCCCCCAAATATCTAGTCTTTAAGGATTCCTCACCTTCTCAAGAACTACAGCTGAGCTCTTGCCCAGAAAGAGTTTCTGAGGTTCCAGATTTCAGGCCCCCAGAAGGCCTCCCTCCCTCTTTACCCAGCAGGTTCTATGATTGCACAAAACCAAATATTGCTCAGAAGTGAATCAGGAATCTCCCATGGCCATTCCTGGCCTGTTCCCTTGACATAACGGTGGAGGTTACTCACTCTCAGCCATCTCATTTCGGAAGGAAATACGCTCTTGGGATCCTCTTGAGGAACTCTCCAGCCTTTCTTTGGCTTCAAGGCCATTATCTGTTTCCACCATAGTCTGTCTTATACTTCTGCCTTCTTTCACCGAGAGAGAGAGAGAGAGACAGAAAGAAAGAGATCTAACACTGGACACTTACCGTGAAGGGTCCTTCTCCTCTGAGCTAAAGGGCTCTTTGCCTGTGGCTCTTAGCCTAGAGACTGTTAGACTAGGGGCTCTGTAAGAAGCCCAGGAAGAGCCAGAAGTCCAAGGCCCTAGTCTCCTTGTGTTCCCAGAAGAGAAGAGATTGGATTTATACCCCGCCCTTCACTACCTAAAGGTGTCTCAGAGTGGCTTACAAACTCCTTTTCCCTTCTCCTCCCCCGCAACAGACACCCTGTGAGGTAGAGAGCTCTGGCAGAAACTGCTCTTTTTCAAGAACAGTTCTTATCAGAACTACGGCTTGCCCAAGGTCACCCAGCCAGGTGCAAGTGGAGGAGTGGGGAATCAAACCCGGTTCTCCCAGATTAGAGTCCGCGCATTTAACCACTACACCAAACTGGCTCCCAGTAAGGTAAGTAGACTTCTACAAGGAAAACCACATAAATACAAAGGGTTTTTAAAAAGGGGGTTATATTTATTTTAAAAGTGGGGCAAGTGATGCTCTGTATTCTTGGTACTGGGGGGGGGGCGACAGTGGGAGGGCTCCTAGCGTCCTGGCCCCCCTGGTGGACCTCCTGATGGCACCTGGTATTTTTGGCCACTGTGTGACAGAGTGTTGGACTGATTGGGCCGTTGGCCTGATCCAACATAGGCTTTTCTCTTATGTTCTTATGTCTAGGACAGTGAAGCTCTGTCTTCTTGGTGCTTGGGGGGGGGCAACAGTGGGAGGGCTCCTGGTGTCCTGGCCCCACTGGTGGACCTCCTGATGGCACTGGGTATTTTTGGCCACTGTGTGACAGAGTGTTGGACTGGATGGGCCGTTGGCCTGATCCAACATAGGCTTTTCTCTAATGGTCTTTTCCTCTGGTACTTTATTTTATTTATTTATCTATTTGATTTTTACCCCGCTCTCTCCACCGAGGCAGGCTCAGGGTGGGTATTTGTACTATTTGTAAGGACCAAGTGTCTGCCTTAGAGTCGGACTACGTGTCCTGGAGTTTAGAAAAGTGTCCATTCCCCCCCCCCCCCAATGGTTTGAAGTTATGCTTTGAATGGCTTATCGCCATGGGTTGGTTTATCGTTTCCGCTAATAATTATTTGTTGAATAAACCTTTTCTGAACAGTTGTCTGGAAGAACCCTGGTTCATCCTTCTACTATCCTCATGAAATCTCAGGACGACACAGCAGACACTAAAGGAGTGACTCCCCAAACTCCTCTTGTCAGAGTGGTTTAGCGTGTCAGGTTTCAATGTAAGTCTTGTCGAGAGCTTCCCCAAATGGGCTGACATTTTAGGTAAAGGCTCTCCTTGCTCGAGAGCTGGTCGAATCCGACTCTAGGGGGCGGTGTTCATCTCCGTTTCCAAGCCGAAGAGCCAGCGCTGTCCAAAGACTTCTCCATGGTCATGTGGCCGGCGTGACTAGACGCCAATGCGCATGGCACACTGTTCCCTTCCTACCAAAGCAGTATCTAATTATCTACTTGCGATTTCTTGCTTTCGAACTGCTAGGTTGGCAGGAACTGGGGCCAGAGACAGGAGCTCACTCCGTCCCGCAGCACTCGGGTCTCGAACTGCCGAACTACTGACCTTCCGGTCTGCAGCTCAGCGTCTTATCCTCTGCGCCATCGTGGCCCGTTTAACAAGTATAGGTCATACCTATGGACTTAGCATGTAGTGAGATGAACAAAGGTGGTTTGCGTTTTCCTGCTGTTGCATAGCAACCCTGGACTTCCTTGATGGTCTCCCATTCAAGAAAAAAAACCTGCCCTGATCCTGCTCAGCTTCTGAGACCCAACAAGATCGAGCTAGTATGGCCATTCAGGTTAGGCATCAGTTGCCAAGCTCTGAGCCATAATCTTCTTCTGGCAGCTGTCTCAGATGCCATCGTTCCGGAAATATGGTAAGGGACCAAAGGTCGCATTCGCCATAGTGAGCTGTAAGAACCCTAATGGCTCCCTCTACCATGCAATGGCTGCTGACTGAAGTAAGCTGGAACAAAAGAACCTCCTCAGGAAACAATCCATAGGCAAAAGAACCTCCTCAGGAAAGCTCCTCCATTAGCATGTCCACAGCCTGGAGAACTACTACAAGATAATGACTCAGCCCTACCCCACCTTCCAGGGTAGATATAAATTACCTGCCTACCATTTTTCTGCTCACCTTGACACAGAGAGTCCTCTGTCTTTCTGTGTTATACCTCTGAGGATGCCAGTCACAGCTACTGTCCTACAATGCCAAGACCACGGCCACACAACCCGGAAAATCTACAGCAACTAATAAGTTGGAACAGATCCCTAGACCAGACCACAGCCACTCTACTGGCAGTGTTCCCTCTAAGCTGCGTTAGTGTGAGCTAGCTCAGTTTCTTAGCCTCCGGCTCACACATTTTTGTCTCAGCTCAGGAAGGGAGGGCTCCAGAGCAGTCTATTTTCTGCAGTAGCCAAATCGCTCGCTCACAACTTTAATGCCAGGAGCTCACAGAGTAGAATTTCTGCTCACAAGACTCCACAGCTTAGAGGGAGCATCGGTAACTGGCGCATCCACTAGTGACTGCAAAAATCAAGTAGAAAATATGATAAAACAAACATTTTCTAGTTAACACATGTGATTGCTTGCTGGCCATAGGGTCCACCCGTTCAGCATTTAAATTCTTCTGAAAGAAACGGATGGAACAGGAGAAACCCTCTCTGCTGCGCTAGACCTAGGGAGAATTCTTATTCCCTTGACAGACTACTGGTCTGAGAATTAGGAGGAGGAGGAGGAGATTGGATTTATACCCCACCCTTCACTACCCAAGGGAGTCTCAGGGCGGCTTACAAACCCCTTTCCCTTCCCCTCCCCACAACAGACACCCTGTGAGGTAGGTGGGGCTGAGAGAGCTCTGACGAAAACTGGTCTTTTTCTAGAACAGCTCTTATCAGAACTACGGCTTGCCCAAGGTCATCCAGCCAGGTGCAAGTGGAGGAGTGGGGAATCAAACCCAGTTCTCCCAGATTAGAGTCCGCACACTTAACCACTACACCAAACTGGTAGTAGTTAAGATAGAAGATGTATGAGGTTGAATAAGGAATTTAGAGTTTTAAAGGTTAGATGAAGGCAAAGCGTGATCTAAGCTGCTCTCCCTGTTGAAGAAGAAGAGATTGGATTTTTACCCCGCCCTTCACTACCCAAAGGTGTCTCAGAGCGGCTTACATACTCCTTTCCCTTCCCCTCCCCACAACAGACACCCTGTGAGGTAGAAAAAGAAGAAGAGGAGGAGGAGATTGGATTTATACCCCGCCCTTCACTACCCAAAGGTGTCTCAGATGCTCAAGCCATGCTAGTACGCCTTGATATTTTCTTGCTTCATCACAATGAATGGTTTTCTGTAGAGTAACTTAGGCTTCAGCCGGAATACTTATGCTGCAACAGGAGGTGACGTCGAATGCCAAGATTTTCATTAGAAGAAGAAGAGATTGAATTTATACCCCACCCTTTACTATCCAAAGGCGTCTCAGAGTGGCTCACAATCTCCTTTCAAATACACGTTGATGGGGTCCGAACTGGCGGAGACTGACCAAGGGAGAGATCTTGGAGTTGTAGTAGATAACTCACTGAAAATGTCGAGACAGTATACGACTGCAATCAAAAAGGCCAACACTATGCTGGGGGTTATTAGGAAGGGAATTGGGGGGAAAAATCAGCCAGTATCAAAATGCCCCGTATAAACTTTGGGAGGCGGTGGATACTCCTTCGCTTGACATTTTCAAGCGGAGGCTGGACGACCATCTTTCGGGTATGCTGTAGGTATGTAGGCTAAATATCAGGAGAAACTTCCTAACTGTAAGAGTGGTTGAGCAGTGGAACAGTCTGCCTTGGGAGGTGGTGGATGCTCCTTCGCTGGAAGTTTTAAAGCAGAGACAGGATCTCTGTTCCCTCTAAGCGGCTACAAGCATGGACGGCTTCAAAAGGGAATTAGATAAGCATATGGAGCAGAGGTTCATCAGTGGCTATTAGCCACAGGGTATAGATAGGGGCTCTGGGGCAAGTGATGCTCTGTCTTCTTGGTGCTTGGGGGGGGTCAACAGTGGGAGGGCTTCTAATGTCCTGGCCCCACTGGTGGACCTCCTGATGGCACTTGTAT